TTCCCACCTCTGGGTCTTGGCTGCGAGGTTTGCCTCCTTGAATGCTGCTCTTTCGCTGTGCCCTGGTATAAAACTCTGGTTTTTAAGCTGCAGATCAGATGCCACTCTCTGCCACTTTCCAGGTCACTACCTCCCCTCCTATTGCTTATGTTTCTCTCTATCTTGAACTTCCAGAGTGAAATGTTTGTGGCTCTGAGCCTGTTTGCATTATAATTACTCGTGAACTTGTCTTATCCCCTCAATGGAGATCATACGCTCCTTTAGAGCGGGTCAGTTATTTTTTATTTTTTCTTTCACTCAACAAATATTTATTGAGTTTATTCCGTATGCCTCCCATACAAAACCGTCACAGCACCTAACCCCTGAGTACTAATTCTCTAACAGTGCAAGGCAACAAATAGGGTAGAGCTGAGAAGTGCCCCCACCAGTCAGGTGCAGGGGCTGTGGCAACACAGCACTTAACCTAGTCTTACTGGCAGAGGAGGAAGTCAGGAAAGGATCCAGGGAGAAGGGACAGCTAAGTGGAAGAGTGAAGGACAGGTGGGGGTCATCCAGCCAAACCTGCAGGGCGGAACTGGAAGATGAGGCTGGCACCTGCTCAGTTACAAGAAGGGGAAGTGAAGGGGCTGGGAGGGAGTGTGTGGCAGGAGCTCTGTTCACATAGTATCCAGCTCTCAACAGGGAGCAAGTCAGTGCCCACAGCCGGGTGGCCATGAAGGGGGTGTGAGCTGGAAGAGCATTAGGAAGGGAGGGGACAGGAAGTGGTCCTCTGAGCCTGGAAGCCCACTAAGAAAGGAAGGCCAATTTTCAGCAAGCCTGGCTTTCCGTGACGTCAGCTCCTCCCCTCCTATCCTGTGTTAGGGAGGGAAGTAGCCCCTGGCCTCAGTGGGAGCTGGTACCGGGAGCACTTCCTGTGCACACCGGTTCTGGAACAGGCCACGGTTGCTGATGACTCACTGCTGACAATAATGAGGTCTCCAGGCACTGTGGGCTGAGCAGAATGTTTATGGAACTGTTCCTATCTCAGAGACATTTAATTCTTTTCAGTTAGCCACTCTGACCGCCTTTCCCCTCTAACTATTCTTTCCTTAACTGGACACACCCTCTTCCTCCTTGCAGGACACATTCCAGGAACACCTGCTTAAGGTGCCAGACCATGCCTTCCCCTGGTGTTCCTATTTTCCCTCAAACCCACACTTGGGGCTGGTTCAACAATCCATAGAACCGTCCTCCATCTCAGGTACCATACCTACCTGCACAACCTCATTTAATCCTTACAAGTGCCCCAGAAGGAGGGACTATTTCCACTCCTACTTGAGAAAATGGCACTTGAAAAAATGACTAAGGAGGTTAAGTACTTGCTAGCTCAAGGCAAAGTCCAATTATTTATCATTATCCCACACTGCCCTCCTCCGCAGCAACTGATCCTCCCTCCCAACCATTGGGCTGAGTTGGAGGTTTAGCCTCTGCTCTGGGGCCTCCTCTATGACTGCAGCCAGGACACTGCTGTGTCCCCAGTCCATTGGGCACAGGCTTCCAAAGAGGAAATAACCCTTGTACCTGGCCCAGTTACTGGTGCCTATGGGCCTTGAATCAATATTTGTTGAGTGAATGAAACTTTGAAGGAACACTGAGATTGCAGTGTTCAAGCTCAGTCCACTAAAGGCATTATACAGAGCACACACTCAATAAATGGTTTGAAGACAGAAGAATTCCATCTGGAACTAAAGACATTCTGGAATGTTCTGTTCCAAAGCAGCTCTGGGCCACCCAAGATGGCAGTTCTATACCTTCCACTGACAGAATGCAGATAGTGCGCCACCCCCAGCTCCTGTGCTTATCACTTTATACATTATGACGTTGTGGGATCCTCTCAACCATTCTCTGAGGCTGGAGTTATTATCTTTATTTTATAGGTGAGAAAGCCAGAAATCAGAGGGAGGAAGTGACTCCCAAGTCACTGGACAGTAAGAGGTGAGCGGGACTTCAAACCTGGTAACTTTGGGGAAGCTGCCCAAAGTCCCTTATTTGGGAGATATTCAACAGCAGAATTAAAATTAGAACCATGATCTAAATAGCCAAATTTTTCAGACTTCAAAATACCCTCTGGCCACCTTGGTCCAAATCCTGAAACCTATGCAGCTGACCCAGAGCAAAGTTGGGGCAGTCGCCTGAGGACCCAGCATGCCCTTTGAGCCTCTGTATCTTGACAGGCCCCAGTGCTGGGACTGCAGGCTCCTCTCCAGAACCAAAATACATTTGTTCATCGGTGAACAAAGTCTTCACCCTCTCACACAAACACGAGACAGGACAAAGAGCTGACGGAGCTGAGCACTGGCAGAGCACCATGGGTTATGGAAACAAAGTGTATCTCACACAAAACCAAACCACGGAGAGCCAAACCACAGCCTGGTGTCCTCAGCCTGTTAGTCATAGCAAAGGAGGGTAATCTCTAGGCCATGCGCGGGGACTGAGGAAGGCCTTCCTTCTAACGGGCTCCTGCGCCGGGTTAGGCGGTTCTCAAAGTGGGAGTAACTTCTGAATTACCTTCAAAAGCAGCCTTTGCCTTTAACTGTCCCCAGCCCTGACATCTTAATCACTGACCCCTGTCACTCCTGGACAGCATTTTTGCTCCCAAAGCAAGCAAATAGGTCTCACCGGCGTCCACTTGGTCTCAGCAGATGCACCTTGGTGAGACAGCCGACCCACCCTGCCAAGGCACACACAGTCATGCCACAGGCCTACCTGGCTCACACCACTCCGAGCGGCCTTCCTCTCAGCCTGCTCGCCACTTCTACGAGGCTCTGTCTGCTCAGCCTCCCTTCCCGGAAAAGGGCCACCCAGGGGCTTGCAGGACCGGCTCTCCTCGGGGGTGTGGAGTTCTGAGAGTCTCTGTTCGGTGCTCAGGCACCTGACCACGTCTGACGGTTTCAAGCAGCTCTTCTTAGAGATCTTGGGTCCACCTGGGCATCTCTCACCTGCCTCTCTCTCTGCTTTCCTCTCATACTGTCCACTCTCTTCTTGCCATGGCTGCCTCTTCCCCTGGCTGCTAAAAGCATTGCTAAGCTCTGAGATGACCCTGTCAGAGCTCCCGAATGGCGGCTGGGAAAAGCTATCCTGGTGGACACGGAAAGGTGGCCGTGGTGGCCCGTGGATCCCACTGTCCCCGTTGATGTGAAGGGAGGCCGGGGTGCTGGGTGTCAGGGGGTAGGCTCTTTCCGGGGGAGGTAGGGCCAGTGGGGAAACTGCAGAGTGAGGGATGGATCGATCCGACCAACTTGAATGGGGAAGGCTGAGGGACAGGGAGGGACTGGACCTTCCCAACAAGGCCTGGTTGTCAGTGTTATAGATAGAAGCCTCGGGCAGAGGAGGCAAGGGTGGGGTCAGGGCCAGAGAACGCCTGCTTGGGCCCCCTACAGTCAGTGAGATCCACTCAGAGGTGACAGCGTGCATCTCGGGGGACAGAGCCCGGTGGGGGTGAGGCAGAGATGAGGGGGCTGGCATGATGAGCTTGCTGTGACCAGGAAACTTCAAAAGAAAAGGAGAGAGGAAAACAAAAGAAAGAAGCAAAAGGTACAAGTGTCAGCGTAAAGAAGGAAGAAGGAAAATCACCATGAGGGGTACACAAAGAGGGATGGAGTGGAGCGGGCGGGCAGGACACGCTGGTGTCCAAGCGAGAAGTCACTTGGTTAGGTCTGAGAGAAGAGCGGGATGTGGGTGGGTGTGTGATGACGTGTGCAGGCGGGGGAGGGTGAGAAGCTAGTGGCATGGAGATGGGAGAGAGGGTTCCACCAGGGCAGACAGAGGTGGCGCCGACCTGGTTTGCAGAACTAACTTTCAAAGGGACACACCGGAAGCTTCCCACCCTGTGCTGCCCATCCTCTGTGGCAACCAAGCCTGGACCCAGAACCAGGAGGGAAAAAAGGTGGCCTGCCCTGGCCTGGCTCTTCTCGGGCTTTCATTCTCTCTAGGGGGCTCAACCCAGAGCCTTCCAGAGAGGACTGGAAGGGTGGTCATCCCACCTTATAGTTATGCAAAAAACCTCTCCCCCATCATTATAAAACAGAAAGCCCCGCACCAATGTCACACCCGCTCCCAGGAAATGACAGGAGCTCCATTTCCCTGTGCAGGAAGTCCTGGGTCAGCCCGGCTAAGGCTTTCTGCCCAGAACCATCTTCTGGGGCCAGTGATGTGCAGGTGGAAGAGGAGGAAATGATTAGAGGATGAGAGAACAGAGTCACCATCCAAGTATCTCAGGTCCCAGGTCCTGCTCTCACACATCTGGCCATCTCCCCTACAGCTCCCGTGGCAGTAAGACCAGTTTCTTTCATTGTTCCCTTCCTCCCCTGCACCCCTCCCTGCACCCTCTCTAGGGCCTCTCCTGAGTCCAACAGCAATTCTGAGCCTAACAATTTTTTTCTTGGCTTTGGGACAGTGGGAATGGATTTGGAATAATTTGTAATTTAGAACAAATTTGTTCATAATTGACATTCAGACAAGCAAACACCTCATTCAGCCCAGTGTATACAGCGTTGGAAGTTCCCTTTCCAACTTGGTTTCTCTTTTTCCTTGCAAAGAATACTCTGGATCTTTACCTTCTGCAGGCCAACCTCGACCAACAAGGTGACTAAGAGTGCCCCACTGGGCCATGGTAGGCGTGGGACGGTGAGGTACCCAACCACCAGTTTCACCCAGGATGGGATGATCTCAGTGGAAAGTCTTAGACCAGCTGGTAAAGGTTCTTATCTCATTCCCCACTCATCTTATTCCCTGAGAAATCACCTGTAATTCTTCCTTTTCCCCTGGGGTGGTATTTCCCCCACCAAGTGCTCGGAAAATGCCATTTTTATTCAAGGAAACAAACCCTGCTGTGGATACACTGTGTTGCTGCAGACGGTCCCCAGGCACAGGACTGAAGAACCGCCCCAGAGGGCCCGTGTGCCGTCAGCCGTGGGTTTCTCAGCCTGAGTGTGAAAACCAGCAATGAGAAGCTTAGGTACCTGTGGGCTTGCGGTGGCACTACGACTCGGCGAGGAGTAAGGCAGGTCGATGTATTCCACGGGGTTTTTCACCAGTGGCCGCTTGAGCACGTCCACATAGGTGATGGGGAAGATGCCTTGCCGGGATGTCCCTGGGATCCTCCCTTCGTACCAGTTCTCGTCCACCTGTCGAAGCAGCGTGATCCTCTCACCCTGAAAGACAAGCCAGGCAAGGGTGCTCGTCCAGCCATGCCTCAGCATATGTCAGGCTTTTACCTGTCCCCTGCAAGGTTCTACATTATTTATCACACTCTTCGCTCAGAGAAACCTGGCCTGCTAGACCAGGATGGAATTAGTATCACTGGGATGTAGAGCTATCTGGATGCAGAGAAGTTAAGCTTGGTCTTTAAGTATTTCTGGGAAGGAGAAGTTCGGGTTCATTACTCTGTGCTCCCAAGCTAGCAGCAAATGTAATGTTTTGATTCATTTAATGTACAATAAACAAATGTTCAACTTTCTTCTCTAAGGCAAAAGGTTTTGGGGTTATCCTTTTTCTTCCTTTTTAAATTCCCACCCCCGCATATCATCATGGAAAAATCAAAACACAAACAAAACACAGAAAATAATTACTACCCATAATATTATCACTTGGGGATAATTGCTGTCAACATATTTATTATGTGTACTTCCCAGACTTAATTCTCTGAATTTGACTTTGACTTACATGTATTTTTCTTATGAAGACTGAGTATGTGTTGTTATTTGCTTTTTCATACTTAATAACATAGTGAGCCTCCATTATTAAGAAATAGAATTCTACAAGTTTGATGTTGTTGCACAGCTTAATGGAAATTCTACATATAATGATTTAATTACTAAACTCCTGATGTTGGGCAATTAGCTTGCTTCCAGCGCTTCATGCCCACTTCCCTCAATCCTATATAAAATTCAGCAAGCCAGAGAATTCTGACATGTAAAGAGAGTGAACTCCTGGGGGAGAACTATGTCTGCATAACTTAATTGTTCAAAATATGCATGCTGAGCCCCTGACAGCAGTGATGATGACAGCACTGGCATCCCGTCAGCTGAGCACCAACCAGATGCTATGTGCATGCTGGGGCTTGACACTTGTGTGATTTAATCCTCTGCCAACAGCTCCAGGAGAGGGTCACTTATCATATATGATATATATGTATGCCACATATACCAGGTTTCAGGAAATGAGGGCTCAGAAAAATTATTTGACTTCCAAAAGCTGCACAGTTGATAATCTGCCACTTTTGTCTTCAAAGCCTTTTAAACTTCTGGTGTCCAAGGACTAGCTCTCCCCCATTACACTGACACGGTGCCTATCACGTCATTACGTGCTGAAGAAGATGCTGGTTGAACACCATTTATAAAAAAAAATGTAAGATTCCAGAAATACTGCCTTACACCTGTGAGAAGAAGGTCTTTAAACCCTGACACTATCTAGGGTGCCAATTGCCCCAATGCCATCCTTGGCTGTGCCCATGGACACCACCACCAGCCTGGCACACTGTGGAGACCCCATACACCCACGATAACCACCACCTACCAGGGCCCCCAGCAGAGGGAGACAGGGCAGCTCACCTTTCGGAAGGACATTTCTACTTGCGTGTCACCGTTAAAGTTAAACTTGGCAATAGCTTCTCCATATTCTAAAACCTGCACGGGTGGCAGCTTTTTGGGCTGAGCCTTCTCAGCAGGAGGGAGAAGCTGAAAAAGGAAGAGAGGCAGGAGAAAGGGAGAGAGAAGTGGGAAAAACAGAAAAGGAGAAAACAAAACACAGTGCTCAGTCAATGAAGGGCGCTCCGGGCACCCTGGACTCCTCCTCAGAATGAAAGGGGCTGCAGTACCTCGATGTAGGTGCGTGGGAAGATTCCCACCCGGCCGTGGTGCTCTCCTTCGTACCAGTTTTGATCGATCTGCTTGTAAATGTAAACGATATCTCCCTTCTGCAGAGGAAGCTCCCTGTGGACAGAGGGTCACGGTACATTAGCAAATGTTTCACCATCAAAACACTCAAAAAAAAAAAAATTTTTTTTTTTTTTTTTTTAGCGAAAGGACACTGAGTGAGGTCAAAGGGGGACAAATTACAGAAGTAGGGGGCTCCAGATTTGGAAGTGAGAATCCCACTCTTCAGGAAATGACATCACGTTGGCATTTTTCCAGTCTTTCGTGGGACAGATATCAATCTTTAAACTGACCAGTACTAGAAAGTGCTCAGTGGCCGTATTAGTCTGTTGTGGTTTCCTCCAGGGACTTGTGAGTGCCACCTCATGTTCCAAATACTTACACAACATATAGCAGTGCACCCAGTAGTCTTAATTGATGCATGAAATAATGAAAAATATTTCACAAATACTTTTACTACTTTAATTACCCTTTTTTATGCCCTAGCAAGGCATGCCTTTAGCGCTTTAAATTGTACTCAAATTACTTTTGACATACTGATGTCCTTTTCTTGTTCAACTCATCCACCCATTTCACCTCCTGTCTATCATCACACAGCAGGAAGGCCCTGAAACGAGGCAGATCTGAGTTATACCACTTACTAGCTCTGGGCTAGCTACTTACCTCTCTGGTCTACTTTATCCGAAAATAGGAGTTAACTCAGAGATGTTGAATTCAGTTGCCAGACTGCCAAGAAAACACCTAGCATGTTGCCTGTTACGTCATTAACAATTATATGACCTCACTCCCTTTTCAATACGGAAAGGGGATGTTGGATAGAAAACTGGATTTTCCTTCAAATAGTCATCCTTTTTATTCAACTTTTCCACATTCATCTCTTTTATATCAGTAATGATGTTAATGTTTAACAATCAGGACCTTCTTTTGAGAAATAGTGAGACAGAAAAATAAATGATAAGCAAAATAAAATGTTTTAAGGAGGAAAAAAAATGTAACTTGAGATTTTCTTGAATTAAAAAAAAAAACAAAAACAAAAAACAAACACAAAAATCTGACCTGACCTTTTCCAGTGGTGTCACACCAACAGCACAGAAAGCCAGGTCTCTGGTGGAAATGTGGAGGGCGTGTGCCTGCTTGGCAGTGTGCCAGAAGTCCCATGGTACGTGAGGGATGCTGGTTGCACAATGGGCACATCTGGAAAACTTTACACAAAGTCAGCACTGTGCTGAGTGAAATAAAAGGCAGCCTTGTCGGTCTGGCATTGGTAGATAGGATTCTAATCCTAACAAGGCCCACAAAGGGGATCTGGGGCATTTGTTTCTATAGAAGGAATGTTTTTGGCCAAATTTTTGCCACAACCCTCCTTGGGGTTGTTCTGAAACTCCCCACTCATTCTACCCCAACCACAGACACATGGATGAACAAGACCCTCAGCATATCCATCCTTGCTGGAGATCTGCAGACTCCAATCTGTATATCCCATGTGGCTTGCAGATACAGAGACAGGGAGATATCAGAAAGAGATAGGGAGACAGAGAGATAGGGAGGACGAGCTCAGTTCACAGAGAATGAGAGGTCTGTAGTTGTGACCACAGGAGATGTACCCTGGGGTGCCTGGGGCTGTATTTTTCCCCACACTATGGATCATACCCACACCCCAAAGGGCCACATGACAAGGTCTGGTGGTAAAAAGTTTTGAGAAATGATAACATGATCTACTCTAGATCTTTTCTGGAGTGTCACCACTTATGTTAGCAGAGTGGAGGTTTGAAGAAGTCTTGTGGGAAAGAAACTTGTTTAACTGTTGAATCGTGCTTTCAAAGAACATTTTTTTGAGAAACATATCATGGGGGGAAAAATTGAACTCAGTGACTGAAAATGTTTTAAGGATTCAGGTTCTATAGATCTGCCATTTAATAAGACATCTTGTTAATTTTTTTTGAAGGCAGCAAGGTATGATGAAAACACTGATTCAGGAGAAAAGGACTCTCCTGAATCGATGTAGAGGAATAGCGACAAGTTCTGTCCTAATCAGCTTTCTTGTCTGTTCTACTTGACAGGGCCACGAGAAAGAACAAAAGTTATGATTCTTCTACGAAATATGGGTGAATGTAGTATCACAATACTATCAGTGAATGTTGCATGAACCTTTCTCAATTTAGACCAAAAAAAAGAGGAAAAGGCAAATGTTTGATTAAAGTAAAAATGAACTTCTGTAATTAAGAAGGGTGGAGTGCTGACTTTTGTGACATTGTGATACCAGTATCACCTTAGCGGTGGCATTTTATGCCCATCTCACAGACAATAGAATTTGAGGTGGGAGAGGTTGGTGACTTGCCTGTGGTCACAGAGACAATATGGGGCTTACTCAGGATTCAAACCAGGATTTCTGACTCTAGCGCCCTAATCTTCCCAGCACATTGTGCCATCACCTCTTATTATGAGCTAAAGGACTGGAATAAATTTACCAGGGTTGTTCTTAGGTTCTGGAAATCCTGGTCTGATCACTCCTTGTGTTAGGGGATCAGAATCACAGCTGAGCCATCTCTACACCGCACTTTCCAGCACCCAAGGGTGGGGACCTCTCCCTGTCATCATCATATGTAAGGCCTCCCACCAGCAGGGTAACAGGGAGGCTGCTGGCCACTGCTGCCAACCAAAACTCACAGTCCATTTATTTCATAATTAGGTATAAAGTGACACTTCCTTTTAGCACCCAATCTTGGGTAGCATTTCCCCAAATTTCATTCCATGGAAAACATAAAGGTTTCCTGGTCATCTGGATTCAGATAACACTGGCTTAAATAAGTTAATCAGGTTTCTTCATTGTAAGCCTTCCAGAGCTATCAGTATACCCATGGCAAATTATCTTTTCAAGGAGGGCGGGGGGTATAGACAGAGAAAGCAGTGATTCCCAGACTTGTTTGTATAATGGGGCACTCTTTTTGAGAAATATTTAACAGAACTGGCACTGTGAGGAACACATTTAGAGAAATGTTGGTCTCCTGTGGGTGGGTTCTTACAAGGCTTTCAATCTCTTGGGATATTGTAACAAAACTGGTGAAGTTATCTTCCTAGAGGCTGTTTTTGGCTCCTTCCATGGAATGGTGGAATATGACCATATTAGCCACCACTTAATCAAGCAAATTGAGTTCCTATACAAGAAACAGCACAGTGGAAAGAGCCCCTTCTCTGGCCCAAGAAGGCCTGGGTTGAATCCCCAGCCTCATTGATCAGTTTGGGCCAATTTTTTACCTTGTAGACCCTGAGTTTCCCCCATTTGTACAAAGGTTATTAACAACAGTACCATCCTCATAGGGCTACACGTGATATATATGCTGTGTAGCACTGTAAGGTACTTATAACAGAGTAAATGCTTTTTTTACAAAAAAATTGTTATTTCTCCAACTCTTCTCTTCAAGCTGACTTCTGTGTTTCAAAGAGGCAGTTACAATGACAAAGGTGACTGGCGGTACTTACTTTAGCGTCTGAGCTTTAAAGTCAAATTTGGCTCTGGCAGGTCTCATCTAAACACAAGAAGCAACGGTAAATTAAACTCAAGATTCACGTACAATGAAAAGGACACAGTTTCACACATTTCCAGAGAGCAAAGCAGAAAAATTCACTCTAACCAGTTCGTTCTGCTGTAGAAATCTGGGCAAAATTCCACTGTCTGTCCTTAGCATAACACTGAACGGATGTTTGGTCAACTATGTCATGCATGAGACTCCCTAAGGAGGGCTAGAAGAGATGGTTAGAAAAGTTCCACAGTTAGTTCCCCAAAGCTGACCATGGTTATTAAGGAAAACCAGAGTTGACCATGAGTCCCAAGACATTCCTTATTTGCTGTCTCACTCTCTAGGGAACACCTTCTATATTCCTGACTGAAATTATGAGGAAACCCTAATTCACCTCTCACATCATCTTCAACTCATGTATTTCTCACGGTTTGTGAGATCATGAAAAAGCCTGAGCCCACTTTTTCTCCAATGGCTTCCATTCCTGTTGGGTAGCCCCCGCCCATCAGACCCCAAGACCTGGAAAAAACCATCCTCAGCTGGGGTTCCCACTTCTTCATCAGTCTGCTTTTAAAACAAGACGTCTTTACACAACCCTGCTTAGGTCTGAGCTATGGTGTCTACAAGCACAAAGCTTCCTTTGTGAGACTTCTTGTTCTCTTCACTTTAATCTACTGTCACTCAGGAGCACAAACAACATTCCTCAAATACTTCCGTCACATCACTTCCTTGCTTTGAAGTTGGCTGAGGCTCTCAACTGTCCCTCAGATCAAATCTCAATTCCTGACATGGGTTAAGGCCTTTCGGTAATTTCTCCCCACTCATACCTTACTAACTATTTTTAATCTCATGTTACACTTTTCCTGTTCCAGTCAGGCAACTCTATTTGCTATACTTTATCTAAGCCGCCCTCTTTGGAATTTCTTCACCTCTAACTCCAGCAATTAAGTTCACCTTTCCTTAACATATTTATTTGCATACCTTTCCTCTCCACCATGGAAGTAGTTATTTTAACTACTTTGTTGTTGTTGATTTTTAAAGGAAGGGCAGAAATTATGTAAGCAAGCTGTTAATGGTGGCCAGTATATAATTCAGCCCCGCCAGCCACAATCAGCGCCAATTTCTTTAACTGCTGTGACTTCCTGGTCTAGAGAGACAATGTGATGAAAATTAAATCACACACTTGCCATTCAATATTTGAGGGTATGAACAAAGTGGAGGGAGAAAATAGGAGACTCTAGGCAAGAAAAAAAAGGTATTTAAAAGCTTCATCGAGGTTAGTTTTAAATCTTAATCCCTCAGGGATATGCCCATATCTCCAGGCTCCTCAAACTGGGGTCTTCTAGGGTCCTTCTGCAGGGCCATGAATTTTTTATTTTTGCATTTTTATGTTGTTGCTTCCATCTATCTGCCTGTCTATGCATCCATCCATCCACATGCATACGAGAGGCCCACTAAATGCCTCAATGCCATACAATGTCAATGCTGCATTTGAGTCTGTTTGTGACCAAAGAGCTTATTTTAATAGTTGTAGGCAAATTAAGAAGAGCACAGATATGGGGTAATGATAAATGATGAGTTCACAAGAGAAGGTCAAATGACCAAAATTTTAAGGACAAATGTTTCAGTGACTCCAATAAAAAAGTGGTAGTTACCCCATGACAGCCAGCTGGCGAGCTTTATGCCCAAACAGCACCATATTCACCCTTGGTGCGGTAACTGAGTTCAAGTAAGACAATATCACTTATCAATCACTGTAACTGTATTTATAAATTGCAGTTTAACTTATCAACTGGTTTAGGTCAATATTGAAGAGAATCTTCACATTATTCAAGGCTTAGAAACACTGACTCCACTGATTTACCCACTATGTGAGCCATCACCACCTATACAAAGCATCTTCTCCCTCTTGATAGTTCTTTGTCTCCTGGAGTTCAAGTCTAGCTTTCTCTTCACTGGCTCCCCCGGATCCGTGGTACTAACCATAGGACAGAGTCCCCGCTGTTTCTAGACTACCAGGTCCTGAGGGTGTTGTCTGGTTCTGTTTCCACCTCCCCACAGGGTCTCACACAGAATTTGTGGTCACTAAATTCTACTGAATGGGGCTTGAGTGTGTCTACACAACCCGGTACACCTAGGACTTGTTGGTCTCTGTTTTCTCCCCTGTCAGTTAACATCTAGGGCAGCGAATCTTAAAGTGGTGCCTAAACTGGAATCATGGAACCTGGGGACTGCTCTGAAATGCAAATCCACAGGCTACCCCAGAATCTGAAATTCTGCACAAAACCCAGGTCCCTGGGAGATGGTGACCATCGCGCCAGCTTTAGAGTCACTGCTCTAGGAGGCGGGGCAGGCGGAGCTCATCTGCCTCTGCCCGTGGTTATCTTGCCCGAGCTGCATTTTTGTTTAATGTTTATCTGTACAGGTGAGTGGATAGCCTTTGAGAGCCTTTCAGCTTCCTATCCCCATCTTCGCCATTACTCTAAAGTAGGCAGGCCTGAGAATGAAGATAATCCAGGCCTTCACCATAGGGCAGGTATGAGGAAGAGCTGGGATGCAGAGGGATGAGAGGCTGTCTTTCCCAGGCAACTGGGCAACACTTGCTAACTTCTGCCTCTCCCTCATTACATTTTTTTGTTATGTTCTTTTGATGAATATCTAGCAGTGCCTCTGTCACTCAAAAGACAGAAACACAAATATGAATCTACTATGATCCTCAAATATTATATATAAGACACTCAGGTGTCACACTCCTAGCCCCAGACTCTCCCAGACACTCCAAGTCCCAGACACTCACAGTTTCCCTGAAAGGCGTTAATCTTCAGCAGGGCTACTTAAGGGTCACGTGGTAAAATAAACACTGATGCAAGATTTAGCACGGGGCCAGCACAAGAATTTCAACATGCTGACCTTAGTGCAGGAAGCCAAGGCCTGGATAAATCACTTCAAAGGTTTGTGCTTCTTCGTTCCTTTTAGAATATTAAGGTTTCGTAATCTCAGCTGAGAAATGTCAAAATTAAATGGCAAATGAAATGTTTCCCAGAGAGTTCTACCCTCCATGGTCTTATCCTAGCTGTAAAACTCTGTTTCACAATTCTTCAGTGAAGCTTCTGTACCAGTGAGCATTTCACTCAACTCCTTGCACAATCCCCACTGGCAGTATTGCTCTCTGATATCTCAAAATGAGTGTCCTAAAGATGGTCTCACTCATAGCAGGAATCTAGAAAACTTAAATAAGGGACCAGGAAAATGAATATAAGAAAGTGAAAATCAAAATCAACAAAAAACTATGAACCAGAGACACTTTTTGGGGGGTGGGGGGTGGGAGGGGAAGGATTGGGGTCAGAATGGGGCGTTTGCAATTGTATGGGGGAATATAAAAATAAAATTTAATATTAAAAAAAAAAAGAATGATGTAAAAAATTTAAAAAAACAAAATAAAATAAAGAGCTTTGTGCTTGATGGAGTCAAAAAAAAAAAAAAGAGCAAATGGGGAGAGAGAGGTCAAAGGGGAATAAGGCATGGTGGTAGGAAAAGAAAAAAAGTGGAAATGTTAGCTATCTCTATGGTGGTAATCATTAAAAAAACACCTATTTCTTACCTTCAAAAAAAAAAAAAAAATGAGTGTCCTAAATCTCAGGGCCTGTGTAATTGGTTTAAATAAAGCATCGCTAGCTAACTTTTACAATAGTTCACTAAACCATCTCTTTAAAGAGGAATCTTAGAATTGCCCATGCCATAGCTACAGTGCACACGGACTAAGGTATGAGGTTTCTAAGCAGAATGCACAGGCAACATGGTGTCATGATAAAATGCAGAACGTAGGGCACTGGATTCATGAAGGCAGCCGATGCGCCGAGCATGCATAGGGGTATGCGCCAGCAGGCCCCGGTCCCACAGCCAGGCATGCTTGAGCTTACAGAGCACAGGGCACAATGGAATCATGTCCACCAACCAGCCACAGAGGAGCCAAAGCAAGCCTAAGGGAAGCCAGAGTGACAGATGCTGCTTGGAAGACTAATTTGGCCTACAGAGGGCAGTGCTGAGGGAAGCAAATATTGCTTTGGGTCAAGCAGCAGATTGAGGCGACCAAAACAGACCTCTGACCCAGATTTCCTTTTGGCTGTATCGTCTATATTGAGGAGGTCCCCAAAGCGCTCATTAGTGATAAACTGATGGTGTGTCGGAATGACGCCCGTGTGGCGTCGAGCTGCAATATCGGCCTCTTCTTGCTCGCGCTTAAGCCGTCTCTGGTCCGCTAAAAGTTTCTGCCATGAAATTGCATAAAATGGGCAGTGAATCATCTGGTACAGGGTATTGCAAAACTGCCAACAAAAATCACTAAGGAAAAAGGTGCTGGGTCAACAGGGAGGAAATGTCAAGGGTCATATGTGGAAGGGGCTTTATGGCCACAAGTATAGTTTCCGCTGTCACCACCCTCCCGAGCCTGTGTGGGAGGGAGAAAACGGGGAAGCTGGGACATGGGGAGGGAGGCGTTCCACACAGTTCCACTAGCTGCAGGTTGTCCCCTGGCTCAGTCAAAAGACTCCTGCCTCCTGACACATGGCAGCAAAGGCCAGGAGGCCCAGGGGCATCAGAACATACACATGCATGCTGGGAGCGGGGAGAGGCCTAGGTGCTAGTTTTACCTCACTCGCTTGGGCAGTGAGGAGTCCCCACAGTGTATTCCCATGCTGGGCCCACAGGTGGCTGAGGCCTCCTGCCCAAATCAGGCCTGTAAGCCCCCGATGAGCCTTGACTTTGTGGGGTTTACGGTAACTGGGTCATATTTGTGTTTTTATGTCTGTTACGCTAATGTGCTCAGGAGGGCAGAGAAGCTGATCTCAGAAAACAAGGCACCGTTCCCTCTGAGGCAGCCAGCTCTTCCTCTGGCCTTAAGGATTTTCAGGAAGATGCATCAAAAGTCATTTATGTGATTAACAGAGAACATCAGTTCCTTTTTTACTTATCAATATGTATTCATTAGGTGAAATGAAGCTGGGTTTAACGGAATGATGTATAATATAAATATGAAAAATAAACTCTGAACAGTGATACCAGGTTCAGAAGAGTTAGTCTCTCCTTAATTAAGTAAACAGTTATTTTAAAATAGTTATTCCCTAAAAGACCTTTAATAACAAGTAAATAATGTTGTATTTTACCAACTAGCCTCACTGTCTTTTAAAATGACCCTTGGAATCAAGTTTTAACAAGTTTTCCTACCCCATACCAACCGCACATTTCTGGGATTAGCATTCTTTGTAGGAAAGCATTAATTAGAACAGGTAATTCTTAGCATTCTCAATAAAGCATTAGTCTTCTTCCAGCAGGCAATTAAATGCCTCAAGGGACAGCTAGCCCAAGGTGCTCATGATTGTTCCATTTTTCCCCCCAGAGTCTACAAATAACAAAGTAACAACTCACCAGACAGTTGTGGGATTTCCAGTGCTCAGGTAAGTTGTTGTGAAGTTAAAATGAGGAGACATAAGAAAGTGCTTTGCAAAACACAGTGTCACATAAAGGGCACTGGATCAGGAGTCTGGAGCCCAGGTTGCCAGCTCTGCCGCTGGTATAAGTTATCTTGTTAGGTGGCCTGGGCAAGCCACTACCCTGTTGCAATCATTTCCTGGATAAGATCAAGGGGATTGGCTAGATGACCACTCAGCTGCCCTCCCAGGACTGACCGACATGGTCTCATTTTCTGACATGTCATTATCATCAATGGTAATAATAAAACATTTGCAGAGAAAAATGCCAGAACTGTCACCCCATTAGCTGGGAAGTGTGTGTTGTTCCGTTACAATGGGAAAGACTGACGCTCTGTCTGTGCTCTGATGAAGGATAAATACTATCAGTGGAAGTGGTTCAGCCTAGTGCTTGAATCAGACCTCAAGAAATCCATCCTTCACCACTGCAGCCACAAACCATGGAAAAGACACACATTTTTAAGGATCAGTGAGTCAGTGTGATTCAGGAAACAATCTACTTATTTTCTGAATGCACCATAAATCTATCAATTGCTGGACCATCGAAGTAAAACAGGCCACCCATGTAGTAGGCGAGGAGTCTATCCCAAAACTTTCCTCACTGGGTACTAACCAGTTTAAACCCCTAAGTATCATGTCACCTCCTACCACAGGAACCCTTACATAGCTGGGAATCTTGTATCTGTCTCTGTGACAATGATGAAGTGAATCTGTTCTGTGGCTTGATGGACACTCACTGTGAGTTTTTCAATTTGCTATTAAATAAAACTCTGTAAATTCTGCTTTCTCTGGTTTCTTTCCAGATAGGTGCAGGTGTCTTATTGAAGACTGTGTGCAGGTACCTGGAGAGGGGGCGAGCCCTGGTCTTTTTTTGTAGTGTCACTATCTGGCCAGGATGCTTATTACCATCCAGCTGTCCTCAAAGTCAGCCTAACTCAAATCCTTAAGGTAAATACATGTGGACTGTGGAGCCACTCAACAGAGTAACATAAGGCTTCAGATTTTACAGGGAAAAGGACAGAGGTGTGTACCCATGAAGCCTCCCTGCCCCATCATCAGCTTCAAAGATATTCTTCTACCTCGTAATTCATTATAGGAAAATGGATATTGCAGTCTGGGTACTTTCTCCTGGGAATGCATAGTCCAAAAACATGCCTCCCAAGAATGCTGTGTCACAACAGAAGCTTGTGCTTTTGCCCATTGAGAAGACAGCAGAAGTACCTCTTCCTAAGTCCCCATGAGCCTGAGCTTCTTCCCATTAGTAACATCACTGCAGTACACACTGGGGAGAGACGGTGCAAGTCCTGAAGTTCTTGGCGGTGGTTAACCCAACCTTTACTGGAATTTTTCTTTTCCTCAAGTTGTTTTATAAAATGTATCATGGTCATTATTATTTTATATTCTCCTCTTTCTCTAACTGCAACCTTCCTAATTTGAACGGTACTTTGTGCCAACAGAGGGGTGGACAGTACTGGAGAGACATGAGGTGTATTTCCCTAGAGAATATCAACCTCCCTCTCCCCCCCCAGGTGGAGGAAGGAGGAGAGTGAAGCAAACTGCAGGCTCCCACTTCTGAGGCACTAAATTCAGGGACGGGCAACCTCTTTCCAAAACTCCCCTGCAATGGTACCAGGTGCATTTGGCATTGAGAGTGCAGTGCCTGTGGGGAAATCAGTCCTACTTTTTGGAAAAGTGGACTGAAAGAGGAGAGACTGAGCCTAGATCATGTGGAAAGTCACTTGCGAAAACACCAATCTTTGCTTCTAATTGCATGGCCACGTCACCTCTCTGATCTGTCTAGAATGTCTACTTCCTTCATGTTTTTATTGGCACAAGAGTTAAGAGCTTTTAAAGATGGCATTTACCTCTTTATCATCATGACGTCTTCGAATAAATTCTTCTGTGGATTCCAAATAATCAGCTGGTATAAAATGCCTTGGTGATTCTGAATCTTCAAAACAACAAAGTAGAATTAAAACAGGCAAAGATGTAGTGGGACATGAGACTGGGAAAAGATTTCACCTCTTATCCATTGTCATTCATGTTTTTATAGTCATTGACTAATGATCAATAATCAAATTCTGGAAAAAAAAACAAAAGCAAAAACACCCAAATCCCCCATCCCGCCTTTTGGGTTTACTCTTGAACTAGTTTGATACAAAGAAAATTAATCTGAAGGCAAGTCTGAGAGAGAGCGAGACCTTCTTTGGAAAGTACCCCTACTCAGAGGCGTGCAGGTTCTCACAGGGACACATCGTACATCACACACACACAGGGCCACCGAGAGAGGCTGCCTCTCAAAAAACCACGGGTGAGTTGGGATTGGTGCAAACCGCAAAGGGATCAAGAGTTCAAATGAACAAATTTCTCAGATGAGCTAAACGGCCAATTTTTCTTTCGAAACAGAGTTTGGTGGTTAGTCTAAATGACATGGGGGTTTGTTTTTAAAGAAGAGCAGCCACTACGAGCCGTGATTAATTGCCAAGCCAAACAAACAGAAAACAAAGGACGGACCAGAAAATGAGCACCAAGGGCACACAGGAGGAGGGGACAAAGCAAGCAAAGTGGAGAGACAGGTGAGGTGAGACTGGGCAAATACACAAAATGCCACCTCCGAGGGTCGTTCCCAGTTCACTTTGTGGGTTGTTGTTCCTGTCCAGGCCGTGGTCTGTGAACGGCACAGAGTTCCCATTATTAAAGGCCCTCAAGCAGTCCTCGGGGACCTCGGGTCTCTGCTGAGGGGGTTCTGAGATCCGGCTCAGCCTGGCCATGGTGTGTCGGGAGGACAGGCGTTTGGGAACTGAGGGTTTCCCCCGAGAGCCGGGCTCGTCCTGGTGGGGCTGACTGGGGAGGTCTGGCTTCTGGCCCTCCGGGGGGCCTGAGAAGTCGCCAGTGGCAGGCTGTCTGGACTGGTGCTGGAGGGGCTTTTTCAACCGGAAAGGGAGGGGGCTCATTAGGTAGATGTTCCTGAGGAGTGTGCTCTTGTCCCCTCTGGAATCCAGGCGCCAGTCAGGCTGCCGGGGGCTCTGCTGCTGCTCATGCTTGCGGATGGTGGTGAAGCGGGTGTATGAAGCCGGGCAGGTACCCTTGCACTTGTTGAGGCGGTGTTTGGGGAAGTCTCCGTGGACACTGCCACTGCTGCCCTCTCTGCTGTCACTGGAGAGGGTTGAACAGCGGTCAAGGTCGTCAGAGCAGGTAGAGAGGGGCTCAGAGTGCATGAGGCCCCTGAGGCCCAAGGAGGGGTCCACGATATTGCTGCACGAGGGGGAGGCGTAGACCCCCCGGGGGTTCATCCTATCCATCTCCCTGGGCTGCAGCTTGGTCGACTCGAGGAGGGACTCAGCCGAGCGGGCTGCGCTCAGGCCGCTCCGGGCCAACACCGGCATGGGGGACTTGCTCAGCCTCCCGGAAAGGTCCAGGGATGGCATGGACCGGGACCGCTGAATCAACTGCTCAAAAGCTGTGATGCGGGAGGAGACGGTGTGCTTGGGGATGTGTTCCGAGCCCTCCTGGCTGGGGCCCAGGTCACCCCTGGCCAACGCCAGGCCGCTCCTTTCAAAGTGGGAAGCCAGATCGCGCACACTGGAGGAGGTGACAGATCCCGGGAAGAGGCCAGCTCGGTTGATCTGGTGCATGTCCCGGTAGAACATGGAGAACTGGATGCCAACCTTTCTCGAGAGCGGGCAGGGCCGCCTGGCGCTGCTGCCGTACTCTTGCAGGCTCATGGTGCTGCTCGACTTGCTGTCATAATCCCGCCGGGAGCGCATGAGCAGGTTCTCGATGCTCCCCCCTACCTGGCGGGGCAGACCTCTCTTGGCATCGTTCAGAGAAGAGGAAACACACAGGTTCTCACAGCTCTGAGCCTTCTCTGATGGCAACAGAACACTCTTCTGTTCCTGCAAAAGAGCACTGGGCGCAGAGAGCCTGGGTTTGAATTTGGAGGGAAGGATTTCCGAAATGCAGGCTTTCGCAGCGGACAGGGGTTTCTTGTGCTTACACACAGGGCCTAATGCATTGCTAGTGTTAACCGTTCGGCTATGGACTGAAGATGAAGAAATCATGTGAGCATTCCCACCTTTACGATCCACTGGAAAGCATGCAGAATAAAATAAATAGACCCATTAGGTTAAAGCCAAAAGCTGCTTAAAAAAAAAAAAAAAGGAGGGGTAACATGCTCGTTTGTCATAAGGGCTTTTTAAAAAAAAATTTCCAGTTGATGTCCAGAAGCAAAATAATCTGTGCTGCAAAGCAGGTGCAAAGATGCAACGAAAAAAATGGCCACCCTGCTAGAGTTAGGAAAGGCTACAGCTCAGCTAATTTCTAAGAAAAGGAGTTCAGAACAAAAAGAGAGAAGAGACGCTTCAGGGAGAGCAAGGGTGGGATTCAAAGGAAGGGAAACTATAAATACGAGAAAGAAAAATGGCCGGTGAGAAACTAGAGGGGGTCAGAAGAGGACTCAAAGGCCTGCTTGGGGTCTGACAAGGCAGAACTTGTCCCAGGTGCTCGAGGCTCACCTGCTGCCGGCACCACGACCACAGGTGTGCGGGCCAGAGGCCTGCAGCCTTGCCCAGTTACCTTTAGTGGAGGCCGAGCTGGAGGGTCGCTTGAGCCCACTCAGGCCCTGGAGAGGAATGTCTCCACCTTCCAAGACGCTTTTATAAATCTGCCTCTCGTTCTCCAAGCCAGCGAGATCCCCAGGAGCCCCATCTGATTCCCTCTTCACTGCGTGGAAGTTGGAAGAATATATACTAAGAACAGTGTAATTTTAAGAGAGAGAAAAGAAAAAAAACAAAGATGAGAATAGGAGTGACAAATTTAAACATTTCTCTTAAAACACACTTTACCAGCTAAGGACAGAAACACACTTCCTAAGTGTAGGGTAAGGTAAAAGGTATCAGGCTTTTCTGCCCTCCCGCCATCAGGATAGATGAGGGAACCCTGTGATCCTGAGTGCATGCCTGATGGCGGGCACCTGGAGTGGGTACACCTGGGCTGAGAGACTGGCCTTTTAAGGGTGGCGTCATGGGGATGCCAGCAGCAGCAGAAGCCGAAAGAGAAGCCGAGAAAGAAGTAGCAGAAGCCGAGAGAGAAGCAGAGATCACCGGTGAACCCAGATAGAGCGAAGACTTGCTGGGGGCTGGGAGGCCTGCCAGCCTTCCGGCCCCCCAGCACTCCTGCCTGCCGTGTACCTGGTCATCCCAATAAAAACCTGCAAAAACCACTGAGGACTCTGACTCCTCCTTTACCCGGTCTGCTGGATTAGAAAACCTGCTCAGTGTCCATCCTGCCCTTACACTAAGCAACCTCATCAAGGACCATCCCTTCTCGAGGGCACTGGTATTGGAACACCTGGTTCTACAGCAAGACAGCCTCACTGCTCCCTGAATACCCAGGAATCACATCCAAACAGTGCAGTACTCAGTCAAGAGACCGCACTGGTGCTTAGAGGAACTCTGCCCAGGGAGCAAGTGGGGCTCCTAGGAGGGAGAATCTCCCCTGGAAGGAATGTTGGGGGGAGGGAGGAGGCAGGGAAAGGCTGGGGGACTGGAAGGCAGGTGGGCTGAGAGAAGGAAGGAGGAACGAGAAAAGGGAAGGGAAAGGAGAGGGCTGGGAGGAGACCCTGAGGGGAGGGGGAGAGCGGAGGGGAAATAGGAGACCCTGCACCTCCCAGTAATGGGGTTGGGGGGCCAGTGGCTGCACGTGAGAAGGGGCAGCTGAGAGGAACCTCTGACAAGTAGCCACCCAATACTGGTGACATCAAGTCTCCCAGTCGGATTATTGTTCTGGGTAATTCTTAACAAATGCTATGGCTGATGGAGCATTAAAATCAATACATACACACACAAAAAAAAAAAAAAAAAAAAGAGAGAGAGAGAGAAAGAAAGAAATTCAACACTGAAAGGAGAAGGCCTTGCTGTCCTGGGTCTCCAGGAAGATCCGTGCCCAGTGAAACCGGAGTCTGGGACTGCACATGCTCCTATTGTCCCAGCCAGATTTTACATCATTCAGACTCTTATGCATGTATTATAAGTCTAAGCTATTGCTCTTTTATATCCTTCGTTTATATTTATCTTGTTGAAATTCTAGGTATTTTTGCAAGTTACCACAAATCCTTTTTGGAATGAGGTGGGGCACAGCAAAAATTAAGAGCATTTACTCACAGAACCTCTCCCTTCCCCTAATGCCAGTTTTCTATGCCTTCATCCACTAAAACACAGACACATGGATGACGGATGGTCAGTCTCTCAGTCTCTCTCTCTCTCTCTCTCTCTCTCTCTCTCTCTCTCTCTCTCTCAGATAAGTGAGTGGCCCCTTTCTTACAAAAGTACTCAGGTTTCCCTTCAAGCCTGCTGAAGTCAGCTTACTGGTATCAAATGGATTTTTTATCTCTGAAGATGCACATGGCACGATGGAGTCTCTTCATGCTGTATCTCACTATGGATACCATCAAGTGTATAGAAACACTTAAGGAATGGTAAGAGGGAGCCCCCATGTGTGACCGCCCCATCACTGAGTCTATAAGGGACACAGAGCTGTATTTGCTTAAACACAACTACCCACTTCATTCCCTCTCCCCACCCCATCAACGATGGAACTATTTCAGCAGCCTCTGGTCCCCACAGTCACAGGGAACAATGAAATGACACCCCTGCACACCACCTGGACATGAGTCCTAGGTGGACACACTATGGTAGACACCCAGTGATCACTTTTTTCATTTTCAGAGAAGGAAGTAAGGCACTGAGGCAAGTTAGTGGAAGAGCTGGAACTCAAGTCCCATCTCCAGGCGCTGTCGGGTGTTCTCAGCTGCTACGTGGCGTGCTGCCCTACAACAGAGCCCGCGGGCAGGCCACAGCCTGGAGGTGCCCTCTCCTGCACCACAGAGCCAGACACAAGGACAAGACCTGCTACCCATGCAGTTTTGCAGATTCCTGCTTCTGCCTGCAGGGGTGCTGGGAGATTTCCTCCCTCTACTCCCAACCCCTAGGTTCTGACTGATAAAAGCCCTCGATTCTTGCTAGAGGGCTACAGGAATCCTGAGGTGACCTGCGGTGGTGGCCGTGTACACCAACTTAAATAAAGGTAAGTTCATTTAAATGGACTTTCACTTTGATCCTAATTAAAAATAAATCTACCCTTTTTTCTAAATTTCCCTTTCATAGTCCATCCTCTTCATTTTGGTTGTATTTTCTGATTTTGTCCTTCAGTTTAATTCCATATTTCCTTTTTGTACAACCCCAAATGCAAAAAAGATTCATGCACAGATAGATGGTCTTTAGCCTTATCAACCGATACCGCAGCTGAGATGCATTCAGTGAGGGGACAATCTCTAATGCCCTGTTCCCCGTGGTTTGGGGCAACCAGATTCCCCTTAGCTTTGGAGAGTGAACTTCTACCGAGAAGCACTTCTACAAGAACTTGCTGTCATGTGAAGGGCCTCAGCTCCAGTCAGAACTTCCAACCTGATCTCTTTCCTCTTAACTTTGTTCTCTCATGATTCTCGGCTGTCACAGGTTGCCTGACCTCACACCTCTCTACCTCACCAGTCATCAGAACTCATACTCCCACTCGGTCACCACATGTTCTGGCTTAATTCCACCCGTTGGCACCCTTTCCCCTGCCCTCCCACCAGAATGATGAACCAGCACTCAGGAAACCTCTCTAGGAGGATTTGCTATATAGCCAGTTGAAAAAAGCAAGCCAACGTGCTTTTTTCAGATGTGTAACCCTTTGCACCTGAGGTGCTCCTGTTTAAAAATCATATCTGAAAGTTCTGGAAAAGTGGTTTTTTTTTTTTAAAAAAAAGATCTATTTATTTATGCATACAAGAACTGGGATGTAAGCCAGAGATGTGGGGGTGAAAGGATTCACCAGAGACAGATTGGGAAGCGTAACAGACAGACCGGCTGAAATACATGGTTGAGGGGGCACTGGGTGAGACAGGAGAGGTCTGCTGTGCCATGTGGGTCAGCTCCTTGGCCGCCCAGGGATTGAACTAGTGCTGCGATGGCTGGCAATAGCTTGATAGCGCTGTCTTTAACCAATGCGCCACCAGGGAGGCCCTAGAACAGTGCTTTTAATTTATTATCCCCACAGGCTGGAAGGACAGATACCTTTGTCCCATTGCATCAAAGTGGAAACTGAGGACAAGAGTGGTGAAGGCATCTGCTGGAGGTCGCAGAGTTGCTGGATCATTGCTATGTTCAAACAGATCCAAGGAAAGCAGCCTGGTGCAGCAGGCCGACTGGGAAGAGCCCAGTCAGGATTAGCAGCTACTGAGCCCTTAACAAAACAGGCTCAGTTCAGAAGCTCGGCTCTGAACATTCTGGGTGGAGTCCGTTTTCAGAAGGAGCAAGCCAAGAAGAGTCACTGCGGAGAACTCACCCCCTGGCTAAGACGCAGAGTTGGCTGCTGAGTTTCAAGGGGATTCAACAAAAACATACTCACTGGAAGAATAAAGTGAGAGAACAGAGCAATCATCTTAGGGCCAACTGTTTCCAATTGTGCTAACGGGCGGGCTCTGGAGGAGGCGCGGGTGGGGTCCTGGCAGGCTGCTCCGACAAAGAATGTGGATCAGCTGAGGTAAACCCGCCCATTTAAAAACTTGGAAACCATATGTTCCTCTCATTTGCAAAACTAATAGGCACAGTGAGACTGTACAACAACAAAAATCCACCTTCACACCTGTAATCTAGAGAGAATTGGCTTTTGAACTCCAGACTTAATTGCCTACTAGACATCTTCACCTGCATGATCCTTAGCATCTTCAACCCACCATGTCCCAAAGCAAACCCAGCTTTTCCTTTACCCCCATCATACAGGCCAGAAAGCCCAGACAATCAAACTCCCTGCTCCCCTCTTCTTGTTCCCCAAAACTAATCAGTCACTGGGGCCTGCTTACTCCCTATCTGTAGGGTAAAGAAAATATCAGGCTTTTCTGCCCTTCCGCCATCAGGATAGATGATGGATCCTTGTCCTGAATGCATGCCTGATGGTGGGCACCTGGAATAGGGTGTGGGCATAGGTAGATGGGATTCAGCTGAGCTAAGACTGTGCTTTTAAGGGCGGCGTCACGGGGGGGACGCCAGCAGCCCCAGCCAGCAGCAGCAGAACCAAAAGAGAAGCCGAGAAGCAGCAGAACGAACGCTAGAGAGCCCAGATAGAGTGAGGACTTGCTGGGGGCTGGGAGGCCTGCCAGCCTCCCAGCCCCCAGCCAGCACCCCTGCCTGCCATATGCCTGGTGAACCCCAAATAAAAAACCTGCAAAACTACTGAGGACTCTGACTCCTCCTTTACCCGATCTGCATGGGATCAGAAAACCTGCATTGTGTCCGGTCCTGCCCCTTACAATTGGCGTAGTCGGCAGGATCCATGCAGACGGGTATTGGAGCCCTCCGAAGACCTGGAGGGACTAAGGAGAACAGACTTTGCCTGTGACGACGCTGGAGGCACCATGGCGGTATAGAAGATGGATACGTCCACGAGCTACAGGATGAGACCTGGCGTGAAGGAGACGCCCGAAAGGACCAGCCAAAGACACTGGAAAGGACCAGCCAACGACACCGGATAGGACCAGCCAACGACACCGGAAAGGACCAGCCAATGACCCCTGAGGCAGCAGGCCATTGCTGAAGCAGGGAGAGGCCAATGGACTGATAGACTGATGAACTGATGATTTTGGACTGACAATCCCGCCAGAAGGCGGAGGACCTTAGCAGGTTATGTTTATTTTTTGAGAATCTGGGGG